TGAGACACTCTCATACTGGTGAGACACTCTCATACTGGTGAGACACTCTCATACTGGTGCCTTTTGATTAAAAGTTTCTTAAGTTTTAATGAAGTCCAAGCTATGAATCTACTATGATTGATACTTTCAGGATTCTAACAAAGATCTTTGCATAACTTTTTTTTGCTTTTCACATTTAGGATTATAATCCATCATAAATTAATTATTACTTATGGAGTGAGGTATGAATCAAAGGTCTTTTTATATGGGTATCCAAACGATCAGCACCATTTATCTCTACTGAATTAAAGTGGTATTCTTGTCATAAATCAGGTGAACATATGTGGAGGTCTTCCTGGGCTCTATTCTGGTCCATTGACTTGTTTATCCTTGTGTCAATTTCACACTGTCTTAATTATTTCCAATAAAGGATTTGTACTCCAGAACATGTGTTGAATTATTGCAGATCAATAATGCAAAAAGAGACTTGATTAGAAATTGACAAAAGACCTACATATAAAAGGATCATTAACTGGCTAATAGGCACAGTTTCATCAATTACCAGGGAGCTACAAATTTAAAATCACAATGAAAAACTACTATATACCACCAGAATGTCTGAAACTAAATGGACTGACAGTATCAAATGTTGGCAAGGATGTGGAGCAACTGGAACCCTCCATAATTATCAGCGCATTGATGGGAAGAGCCTAGCAATTCATTTCTAAGTCTGTATTTGACATAAATGTATGCTTATATCTCCTGAAAGACATATGCATGTTCAGAGCACTATTTGGAATAACCCCAAATAGAAACATCCAGTAAGAACCAGCAAAGCCAATGTATGATTACAGAGATGAGAACAGCATCCACTTTTGAGGAGGATACACCAGGAAGGAGCAGGAGAGCCTTCTGGGTTCTAGAATGATATTTATCTTGATCTGAGTGGTGATTTCACAGGTGGAAGCATGTGAAAATTCATTGAGCTATTCTTTTATGATTTGTGAACTTTTCAGTAGGTGTGTTAGACTTCTATTTTTAAAGTTTTAAAATTTGCAGATCCAACTATTGCCGTCAATTCGATTCTAACTCACAGCTACTGTGTATCTTTTCAAGTCCACCCGAAGGATAAGCATTAAGTTGTGGTTGTCAATATTGGTGCTTATCTAATGGCTGTTCTCCAGAGTGTCACTTTACAACTTGGAATTGTGTGTCTTTGAGAAATGTGCCTCCTCTTCCCACTTACATGGTGGTTATGTGCCGTGGAGTCGGTTCCGACTCATAGCAACCCTGTGTAGGGTTTCCGAGGCTGTAAATCTTTACAGGAGCAGCTGGTAGCTTCAAACTGCTGACCTTGTGGTTCGCAGCCTGATTCGTAACCACTACGCTACCAGAGCTCCTTTCCCACTTACGTTGTCAGGTGTCATCGAGTCAGAACCGATTCATAGCGACCCCATTCACAGCAGAACGAAACAATGTCCGATCCTGG